TGCGCTTTTCTGTACGCAATATTTCACTGAAAAATATGTTTTCTTAAGGACAGCTAAAGAGGTTGGGGTGTTTAGTTCAGAGAAGGGAAAACATGGAATGAATGCAAGGCCTGTCTAATGATATTTAGAAGACTAGGGTGCAGACAGGAGAACTTCAGCTTTCTTTTTACATAGTCCCAAAGGAGGAAGCAATCAGGACCGGAGACAGACAGGTTTTGGCTCAAGATAAGGAAGAATTTCCAGTAACCCTAAACGTTCAAAGATGGAACGCACCTTGCGGGAGAGATAAATTTCTCTTAATCAAAGGACTTGAAGTCACACTGAGAGAAACCTTGGCAGAGACCTTGGAGGGTGAGTCAATGTCACAGGGCCCTGGACCACAGAAGGTTGAGGTTGACCAACCTGAAGAGGGGAGGGCAGCATGGATGAGTGAGGCTTTGGGAGTCAGCAAGATCTGAGGATGACGCTCCAGTTCTACCACTAATTAGCTAAGCGACCTTGGTTAAGTTACCTGACCTCTCTGAGCTTTCTGTTTTCTCAATTGAAATTGATGCTGCATATAAATTATCTAGTACAGGTGCTTGGCATTTAATAAGTCCTTGATAAGTGATGGTCATGTTGTTAATTAGGAAAAAGTGTCTCTTGAATTAGAGATTCTGAGATTGTCCATCTCCATAAGTATCTGTGTTGTAATAGGTTTTTGTAACAAGAAAGCTGCATTGCTGTGTTCAGTTGCTCAGTTGGGTCTGACTCTGAGGCCCTATGTATTGTGGCCCAACAGGCTCCTCTGTCCATGGAATTCTCCAGGCAAGAATACAGGAATGGGGTACCATTCTGTTCTCTAGGAGATCTTCCCAACCCAGGGATCAAAACCATGTCTCCTGCATTGCAGGTGGATTCTTTACCATCTGAGCCACCAGGGAAGCCCACAACAACCCCAAACTGAGAAGGTCACAGAAACAAGCATTGACTTTGTGCTCACGGGTCTGTGGGCCAGTCACCACGCAGCAGGGCCAGGCTCCAGGCTTCGTGAAGGCCACAGCTGTGGGTTGGATTCAGATCTGTTTCACATCTCTCTCATTCCAAGACCACAGAGTGTGGGGCATGCCCTGCTCATGATGGAGGGCAAAATGTTTGCCGAGGACACTTAGAAACGCAGGACGCCACTCCATCACTTCCTCTCACGTTTCATTGGTCCAAGCAAGTCACATGGCTGTACCCAAAATCAGTGCTGCAGGGATGTCTGCAATGCCATTCTGCTTTAAAGTCACATAGCAAAGGGGAATGTGGGTCACCGAAGAACTAGGAGCAAGAGTTCTATCTACCAGACGCACGCATGTGAAATATTTAAGAGTAACTGTTCAAAATGGAAGAATGTATTTTTAAAAAATCTTCTTCAAGAACCATGAAGCTATAAAATATAAGGTTCAAAAACCTCAGCCTAACAGTGAACAGTGAAAATTTAATTTTTCCATTTTATTGGCTTATGTAATAAAATCATTGCATAGCTGATTAGTTTTAATGCTCCACGATATGTCATTGAGGAGGTAAATTCAGGGCTCAGGGAGCTTTCTTCTTAATTCTGGTTCTCACCTGTTGACCCAAAGACCCCTAAGACTCTCCTAGTCCTGGCTGAAAATTGATTTTACCTTTTCTCCTCCAGGACTCCTTGGCAAGTTGAGATTTCTGTTTAAGGATCTGTTTTGTCTCTTGTCAAGCAGAGGGTTTTGGAGAGGAGTTCACCAGAGTCTGGGTTTAGCTTGAATCAGAAGCCGGGTGCAACCAAGCTGTGTCTGGTCCTTTTTTCCTTCAAAGAATTTTAACCAGCTCCACCGGGCCCAGAGGGAATCCACTCCCTCTGGTAGCATTTCTTAACAATGGTGCTTAGGGAGATTCACCTCCAGATGTGCCAGGAGCAGGGCAGATTGTGTGCCCTCGTCTCTTCCCCAGGAGCTGGGTCTCTGGAAAGAAAAAAGAAGCCTGGCCTGAGGGTGGAGCAGGAAAAAAAAGAGAGCCAGGCAACCTTGTACAAATCAAAGGCTTCCCCCTGGAGGGAGGTAGGAAGCCTGGAACAGAACTGACCGGAGTGGACCCGTCAGTGGGTCTGCCAGTAACTTCCCATGGGAGTCAGAGAAGGTCACTTTGCTCTTCTGTGCCTTGTCTTCCAGAAGGGCTGGATTTGAAGACCCCCAAAGTTCCTCTGGAGAAGGACAGAATGCAGTGCTTAAGAGGGAAGACTCCAGGGTTTAGTACACAGAGCTCGGATACTGAGTCCAATGCAAGACCTCAGGCGAGTCACTGAAATGCCCTGTGCCTCAGTTTCCTCAGTAGAAAAATATCCACACCACCTCTCCTGGTTGTGGCAAGGAAGAACTAAGCTAGCTTGTCTGGAGTGTTTGGAGCGGTCCCTGGCACAGTCCCTGGCACAATTCCTGGCACCCTCCATCAGTGTTACCCCCTGTTATTATTATTCCAGCTGAAGATGCTAAACCACTTTGCTCCATTTTTAAATGTGATTTATGCTTCCAGGCTGTGAGGGCTATTAGGCTGACTACGTGAGTGTATAATATATGGGAAGGGGAAGCCGTAAAAGCACAATCTGTGCAGAGATGCTAGGCAGTGTGGCGACTGGAAAGGATTCAGAAACGCGCCGCAGACATGATTAAAGGTCTGGAGAACAGCACCTCCCAGCAAGAGAGGCGGATAGTGGATTATTTACAAGACCAGAGGTGGAGAGGTTACAAGGAAGAATTCCCAGGCACCAACTCTTCCCATACAGTGAGAAACTCTGGGGGTGACACCCCAGCTGAGCTTCCAGATAATTACATGGGAAGCAGAGAGCTGGTTGAATTTTCACCCACCTGGTAGAAGAGTGTCCATCATTATCTTTCCTGTAAGATTTAAACCCAGGTGTTAGGTTTTCTCTCTCAAAGTTCCCTTCACTCCTTAGACCTCTCAAAATAAGACATGTAGGTAGTAATCAATTTCTCTGGGATCGTTTGTCTGGGAGAAATGTAAAGAGAAACTTTAGGGAGAGTTAAAACAACTCATTGTAGTGCGCATGACCTTGAACATAGGGAGCCAAAATTTCCCACCTCATAGTAAGGGGATGGGCTGAAAACACGGTTTGTGATAACCACCACTTATGCATTATGCAAGCTCTCACCCCAAAACCACAATGCTCCAACACCTCATGACCTTAAAAGTAATTGACAAAGCAAAATTCAGCCAATAGGTCACCTTTTCTCTCCTCATATACTGGACATCCCATCAGATTTTATATCCTGACCTGGACAGGGTCTTGTAACTTCTGGATCGATGGTACAACCAGCAGAACAAAGTGGTGAGGGGACCAGACCATCAGATGATTCAAGGTTGAGAGACCCATCTCCTTGTCTTGGAGGTTTGGCAACAGTTTCCATCTGGCCAGGGGAGCAGTGTTTGAGGGGCTAGGATTCCGAACAGCTGCACATCCCTGTGAACTGGGGCTGATGTTCCTCGACTTTGGCCCCAAAGCAGGGCCCTGTGTTGGTCAGGGTGGGATGGGTAATGATGCAGTAACAGGGACCCTAGCCTCGGTGGCTCACGCTGACAAAGAGTGGATTCTCTCTCCTGCTCTGTGTCCATTGCAGTGGGGACTTGACGCTGCCTCTTCTTCACTCCAGGACCGCAGCCAATGCAGTTTCCTGTTGACATACACTTCCACAAGCACCGCCACAGAGGGAAGGCCATTCTGAAGGGTCTCACACCAGCCATTCAGGGCTCCCCCCCAGAGGGGATCCACATCACTTCCCCAGCATCACATGGGAGCCCAGAAATGCAAACTGCATGTGCCTGTGAGATGAGAACAAACATAACCCACGAGCAACAACCACCACCACAGCCCTCTCCTGAGCTCGCAGCCCCAGCTGCTTCACACTCTGCCACGATCCCCTTCTCCCCACCTGGAGAGACATCCTGGGTGGGTGTGTGTGTGTGTGTGTTAGAGAGAGAGAATACAAGCCTCAGCTCTTCCCTTAAGAAACAAATGACTCACTGACATCTGCGACCCATTACCAAGGTGATTCGGTCCCTGTAGACCTTCTCATTACACGCAAACCAATGTTATTATTATTGTTTATCATTTACATGACAAGGCGAGTATGTGCCCTTCTCCTCCCTGCTGGGCTCTGGGTTTCCGTGCTCACCTCTTTTACTCTCAGCCCTTGCTCCGGAGCGCCCCTCCCTGCTGCCCCAGCACCTGCACCCCCCTCTACCCCGGTCCAGCTGTCTGCTCTCCACACCCTCATCTGCAGAGCAGCTTCCTGGCAGCCTCTCCTCCTTGGGGCTGAGAGGATAGCAGCCCAGGCAGGAAAGGGGGCAAGCCGAACCATAGGTGAGCGCCTGCTATTTGCATGGCACTGAGTCAGGTTTTGACTGTGAGATTATCCCTGGACAAAGCAGGCAAAGTGTAGACATTCATGCATGCAACACAGGTGGGAAAACTGAGGCTCAGAGAGGAAAGGGACTTGCACTCCATTGTGCAACACACAGATCGCACTTGGCAGAAGAGAAAGCTTGGAAATGAAGCTACTCCTCTGGGAGCATAACCGATCCGTGTCTATAACCTTGGAGGTGAGTGGGGCTTCTGGAAGGAGCTCTGGGCTTGGCGACAGAGCCCTGGGCTTCGGGACTGATGCTGCCTGTTCCCAACTGTGTGAACTTGAGAGGAACTTTGCCCTCCCAAACCTCTGTTTCCTGGGCTGGAAAATGGGGTCACTAGTCTTGCCCTGCTGGCTAGGACAGATGAGATAATAGTGCTGATAAAACAGCAGGGAGCATCCTAGCGTCGAGTACCTCAGAGGAAGCAGGTGGGGGCGGCTCCTCCTTTGGAACATCGCTCGCTCAACATGCATTGGTGTCAGTGGGATCAGTTGTCCCCCAAAAGTCAGCAACTCAATTTGTGGAAGGTCAGGAGCTAGTAGATCAATGACCTCATCACAAGGGTGCCCTTGCTGGAGTCACACACGAGCATCATTTACAGCTTCATTCATGTGTCCAACCGGCAGTAACCGAATGCCCATTCTGGACCAGACCATTTTTAGCACTGGAACCCAGAAGCGGCCCTCCTGGCGCTTAAGACCTAGTCAGAGGAAATGGACAATAAAAAAGATGGCGTATAAACATGACAATTTCAAATAGAGACACAGCTCATAAGAATACCAGCAGGCTGGTGCAGTGGAGCGTGGCTGCCCTTTTTATGTTGACCTTTTTGAGCTGTGTGTTCATCACCAGGTGCTCTGGCCAGCCGCCCCCCTTCCCAGCATCCCACTTGGATTATCAGCCATAGCCAAGCTCTCATTGGAAACTCAGCTCCTCAAGATAGACTCTCACAGTCACCGTAGCTATAAAACATCCTTCCCACCTTGAAATCTGCCCCCTCCATAATCTTTTTCTGGATCTTGAGCTTCCTTTTAAAAATCCTCATAGCAGCCCTGATGAGCAGGCATCACTTCCGTTCTACAGATGAGGAAGCTGAGATGAAGGAAGGTGAGCGAATGCCCGGATTCAGACTACTGTGATCACCATTGTAATCACCATCACCAACACCTCCCTCCTTTCCTGGGGTATCAGAGCCTCAGCCATTGTAACAGCTCCTCCGCTATCAGAGCCTCAGCCATTGTAACAGCTCCTCCGCAGCACTGCAGATCCTGACCACGGCTCACAGCCATCACTTGATCACCACTCCGTAACACCGCAGCTTAAAAAGCTGTGCCAACCACAGGCGGAACCTCCCAGGTTTCTTCCTTTCCTTCCTCTCTGCCTCACCTCTGGGGACAGGGAGCCCTGGATAGCCTCTGTGCTCACCCTCTGTCACATGTGGCAGGGGCCCCCAGCGTCTGGGATCTAACGTCTGATGGTCTGAGGTGGAGCTGATGTCATAATAATAGGAATAAAGTGCACAATAAATGTAGTGCACTTGGATCATCCTGAAACCATCGCCTCCCAGTCTGTGGAAAAATTGACTTCCACGAAACCAGTTACTGGTGCCAAAAAGGTACACTGATGCAGCCACGGGCCTCAGAGGAGCTGGGTGAGTTGGGTGTCATCACAGGGCCATGGTGGCCCCAAGACAGTAGTGCTCCCAGGGCCGTGGTGCTCCCAGGTAACTGGTGCCTTTGCCTTCATCTAGCATGCCATCCCCATGACCCTTGAACTTTAGCCCCCTTCAGCCAAAGAAGGGGTGGGGTCTCAGGGCCCGTCCGTCTCGATGGCCCTTGTTTGTCCCCCTCATCACCTCCACACTGATCCAGCTGTCTGATTTCCGTACTCCTCTCTCCTTCCTGACTGATCACCTCTCAAGGGCCAGGCTCTGTCTATTTCAGCGGCTTTCTCAGCATGAGGCCCAGAGCCTGGACCCCAGCAGTCATCAGGGAACGTCTATTGACCTGGGAAGTTGAAAGAGCAGAGAACAGTTGTTCATCAGACCCCTGCAGGTCCAGCTGGGCTTCGGTGCTTTATTCCAGGAGAAACATCTTGCCTGGCGGAAGCTCCCACCAGGGGAGGCCCATCCACAGCCAGCTCGGCCTTGCCCGGCAGCGGGGGAGCCTTGTGTCGGGAGAGGAGATGAGGTCACTCACTGCACTGCCTGGAGACTCGCACACGTTCCTTGTTCCATGAGATGTTGTTTTCAAATGTGTTTCCCAGGGAATCGGTGCGGGGTTTTTCCCTTCCTCCTTTTTTCACTCCCCTCTCTGTGTCTGGCTAAGGGGCCCAGTTGCAGCTGCTGTAACAGCAGGCGAAAAACCGGAATCAGGGTTTGTGGGCAGACCAACCTTGGAGCTGCCAGCTTCCCTGGGCTTGCCCAGCTCTGCCCGCGACACGGCTAACTGTTAGAGCCACGATCCTCTGCAGTCCTGCCGCTGACGCGTGGTGAGTGGGGCCAGGCCCTCTGCCCTGGGGCCCGGAGACAGTGGCTATTGTGTGCATCGATTTCCACAAGCTCTCCCCCATTCCAGACATCTGTGCTCCAGGATCCCTATCCCAAAGGCATCGTTCCCCAGTTCCTTCCTACCAGCTGCCAGGGCCGCCTGTGATCCCCCCGCCCCACGCCACCAAGGCCCTGGTAGCGGGTTAGACTGTCTTGCGCGTGGCTCCTACAATCAGTGCTTTCTGGAGCCTACTCGGTTTCAGGCTCTGGAGATGAGACGGTAAACAAGACAGATGCTGTTCCTTTCCTCAAGGAGTTTCTGAGATGTGGAGGAAGCACACGGATAAGGACATAACTGTGAATGGTGCTCACAGGTATAAAGCAGACAGGAGGGAAGCACAGAGACTGCAAACAGAGGGGAGACGTCTGGGAGGGCGTCTCGAAGGCAGGACGCTGGATCTGAAACCCGAAGGACACCCAGAAGCTCGTTGTGGAAACACTGGAGGAGGGGCTGCGGGCGGTGGCTCTGGGCAGTGGCCTGCAGCCGGAGGGAGGACGAGGAGGGGGTGTCCTGGGAGCCGAAGTGGCAGGCGGATGGTGATGAGCGGGAAGACTGGGCAGGACCTCAAACAGCGCCCCACCGTCCCCCCAGGGCTCAGGGCAGGCGCTCAGGAATAGCTGGTGAATAAATGAGGCCCAGGCTTTGTTGGCTATTTGTACCTTTCCCCTCCATCCATGTCAGCTTTCCTAGCCTATTAGAATGGGAATTTTGACGCGAGGTAAGGGCCGGGTCTGTCTCTTCCTCAGAGCCTCTGAGATCTGGTCCAAGTGGGAGGCGCACTCTGGGGCTTCCAGCCAGCCTCCTCGCCCCTGCTCCCTCCCCCCAGCCTCCCTTTGACCCCCCACCCCCAAAAACCAGTGATGGCCCCTTCTGCTCCCACTGTTCCGGAAGCCTGGCAGCTCCCAGCTTCCACAACCTCGGGCAGGGGCGGGCCCTCCTCAGCACGCACTGTGGTCACAGCTACAACGGCACCTGGAATCTGAAACAAGAATGTGTACCATGTACAAGGCTTCAGATGCCATTCCGCTTCCTGGCTGTGTGGCCACTGCCAAGTCACTCAACCTCTCTGAGCCTCAATGTCCCTGTCTGAGAAATGGGTGTTTGGGGAACCTTGGCAAGAGCATCTCCTTTTGGCCAGCGCTCCATCACCGTCAGAGATGCTAATGAGCCCTGTGGGCAGAGGCTGCCGTCCTGCACGGAGGGGACTGCTGTCGCCGCGATGCAGGTGTGGACACTGGAGATGAAAGCAGCTGCCCGGGTCACTCAGAGGCGGAGATGGGGTCTCCACAGGAGGCTTTCCTGACTGCAGGACCCACACCCTTTTCACGAGGCCTCAGCTCTCACGGTAGCAGGAAGGTGCTTCTCTTGGGGAGATGTGAGCTGCACCTTCCCAAATGCCACTTATTTGGGAGCATTCCTTAAGGGAACACCTTCCGCTCAGACTCCCAGAGGGCCATCTCTTCTTTGATTGTTTCCCAGCAGAGTCCCTAGTACAAGAGATGGAGCAGGCGGGGCCCGGGCGAGAAGCTGCAGAAGGCGTCTGTTGACAATAACAGCACATTTTTACCAAATTACCAACTCCCAGCATCTCCCATTAGCGAGCGATTCTTGCAAGGCAGACACACTAACAAGATGCTTCTGAACTCCGGTCCACATCTTCTGCTGCCAGTGCAAGAGGCACAGAAGCTGCCGTTGGGGGGAAGCTGCTTTCTTAATTACTGAGCAAGGGAGGAGGGTAGCTGGAGAGGGCCTCTTCATCCTTTGCAGATCTTTAATGAACCTTTTAACACACTTAAAACATAAACGAAGAGAGACTTTGTAAAAGCTCTTTTTTAACGATTTTGGCAGGTTTGATTAGTGGTTTTGAAAGCCCTAGACAGCCACTTAATTGGTGAGCCCCCTTGACAGCTGGTGAATAGAAGGTAGGCATGCAGTGGACTGCACTGGCCTTTTCTCGTCTGCGTACCTTTTCCAAGATGGCTCATTAGCCCTGGACTCACTGACCCCCATCTGCTGCCCACGGTGCCTACAGATACAGCTGTGCCAAGCAGGCAGATGGACACAGAACTTTCCGGGTGTGAAAGTTCCTGCAGGATACTGGAAGCAGTATCTAGAAGGTAGGCTCAGGGGGCGCAATGGGACGGGTTTGGGCAAGGCTTACCCAGAGCTTACACAGCGCACAGCGAGATCCTCCCTGGGGTGCTTTGGCTCCCACGCCTTCAATTCAGATCCCTGTCTTTAGGAAGAACTCATGGTGCTCCAGAAGAGTCTGCATTTGGGGGCCAGGCTATTCTGGGTTTGAATCCTGAGTTTGCCTCCTTTTCAGATGTGTGACTTTTGCAAATGAGGAACGTCTCTGAGCCTCCAGGTTCAAAATCTGTAAACTGGGGACAATTATACCTATTTCATGGGCTTCATGGCTCTGGGTAAAGAATCTGCCTGCAACGCAATCGATGTGTGTTAGATCCCTGGGTCGGGAAGATCCCCTGGAGGAGGGCATGGCTACCCACTCTATCTAGTATTCTTGCCGGGAGAATTCCATGGACAGAGGTGACTGGTGGGCTACAGTCCATAGTGTCCCAAAGAGTCAGACATGACTGAAGCAACTTAGCATACTCACGTGCCTACTTCATAATATTGTTAGCAGTCAACAGCTGAATGCATTTACAAGTGAAGTACTTGGGACAGAAGAAGTGCTCCAGAAGATTAATTTTCCCCATCCTCAGCTTCTACATTCAGCAAGAGAGTTCCAGAAAAACATCTGTTTCTGTTTTATTGACTAAGCCAAAGTCTTTGACTGTGTGGATCACAATAAACTGTGGAAAATTCTTCAAGAGATGGGAATACCAGACCACCTGACCTGCCTCTTGAGAAATCTGTATGCAGGTCAGGAAGCAACAGTTAGAACTAGACATGGAACAACAGAATGGTTTCAAATAGGAAAAGGAGTACGTCAAGGCTGTATATTGTCACCCTGCTTATTTAACTTCTATGCAGAGTACATCATGAGAAAAGCTGGGCTGGAAGAAGCACAAGCTGGAATCAAGATTGCCAGGAGAAATATCAATAACCTCAGACATGCAGATGACACCACCCTTATGGCAGAAAGTGAAGAAGAACTAAAGAGCCTCTTGATGAAAGCGAAAGAGGAGAGTGAAAAAATTGACTTAAAGTTCAACATTCAGAAAACTAAGATTATGGCATCCAGTCCTATCACTTCATGGCGAATAGATGGGGAAACAGTGGAAACAGTGACAGACTTTATTTTGGGGGGGGATCCAAAATCACTGCAGATGGTGACTGCAGTCATGAAATAAAAAGGTGCTTATTCCTAGGAAGAAAAGCTATGACCAATCTAGATAGCATATTAAAAAGCAGAGACATTACTTTGCCAACAAAGGTCCATCTAGTCAAGGCTATGGTTTTTCCAGTAGTCATGTATGGATGTGAGAGTTGGACTATCATCAAGAAAGCTGAGCACCGAAGAATTGATGCTTTTGAACTGTGGTGTTGGAGAAGACTCTTGAGAGTCCCTTGGACGGCAAGGAGATCCAACCAGTCCATCCTAAAGGAGATCAGTCCTGGGTGTTCCTTGGAAGGACTGATGCTGAAGCTGAAACTCCAATACTTTGGCCACCGATGCAAAGAGCTGACTCATTTGAAAAGACCCTGATGCTGGGAGAGATTGAAGGCAGGAGGAGAAGGGGACGACAGAGGATGAGATGGTTGGATGGCATCACCGACTCAATGGACATGAGTTTGAGTAAATTCCGGGAGTTGGTGATGGACAGGGAGGCCTGGCGTGCTGCAGTCCATGGGGTCGCAAAGAGTCGGACACGACTGAGCGACTGAACTGAACTGAATGGTCAAGGGGATTAGGTCTAAAGAGCGCATAGGGAAAGGGACTGCAAATCAAACCCTGTGAAAGGAATTGAAAGCAGCAGCACTGAACAGCCTGAGGAGAGACGAGTGGAGGTGGTGGATTCTGGGAGCATCAAATGTCTGACATGTAGTCCCCTGAAGATGTTTTTCTGAGTGAGTGGTCCTAATCAGAGGGTAGAAATCTCAAAAGCTAAATTTTGTTTAAATATGCAAGCGTTGGACACAACTTAGTGACTAAATAACAACAAATACATTTATAAGGAGAATTTTCTTTTAAGTCAGAACCAACCAGTTGTGAAATTTATTGATTTATGCAACAATACATATATTGCCAGGCACTGTCCTTTAGTCCTGGGATTAAAGAAGTAAACAAAAGAAAATCCTCACTCTGAAGGAGGTCACTGTCCAGTGGACACCAACAGTGTACGTGTGTAATTCCCTGGACATAGAAACTGGTCAACCTCTTGGGCTGCAAAGGGAAGAAGCCTCAGGTGAAGTTTAAACTGAGTAACCCTGGCAACTATGAGTCCTTGAATTTCAGTTCACCATTGCCAAGATTTCTACTCCTATCTTGATAAAGACAACCATCTTAATAAAGAGAGCTTCCCCTCATTTGGGGTGGAGGTTGAAATACAGCCTAGCTCTGGATTTGGAAGCCATGAAGGAGGTGACCGTGGGCGCTGGATGCGGAGTGGATCCATCTACAGTATCAGTATATATAACTATCCATCAAGGTTTTGCGTTTCTGGGATACAGACCCCTTACTCTGGGGAAACCCAACCCTCCTCCCCCTCCCAGTCCACTGTGACTTGAATGGGGTTATCCTCCTTTTTGCTGCTTGCTTGGTCATGTGATCCAAGCCTGTCCAGTCAGAGCGTCTCCTCCTCCTGGCCACAATGATTGGTTCAGGGATGGGCATGTGACCTAAGCTGGGCCAATGGGAGGCCAGAGAGCCAATGCTGGACTTCAGTAGGGACTGGTTAAAAAAAGAGGAAGACCCTCCCATTAAGAGGGTGGGATGGAAGCTTGGCACTATAAGGGGAAATCCTGAGAATGCAGTCATCACAAAGGAAAGCAGGAACAAGTGATGGCAAAGGAGGATGTCAATATTTTTATATTGGGACTTATTATGTTTATGTAAATAAGCATATGTATATTTTTGTATTATTCTGCCAATATTTTTAAGAGCCACCTGGATCCAACCAGACCTGAAGCTTTCTCCCAAATCTACGTGTTCTGTGGCTTAAAACACCGTCTGCAGTGGTTGTTTCTTGGGCCTTTTAGACTTAATGTTTTCTGTCACTTGCTCCCAAAAGAGTTCTCTCTGATGAAGAAGATTCTATTAAGTGTAATATGGTTATTCTCTCTCCTGGCCAATCTCAGATAACCTGATGGGAGAGAACCCTTTCAAAGGAACAGGAGAGGCTCTGTGTGCACCGCAGAGAGCTCCCCCAAAGGAACTGGTGTGAAATCTTGTGCATTCTCGCTCCTGAAGAAATGTGAAACTGGGCAACATGATTCTACAAGTAGCTGTTTAGTTGCTCAGTTGTGTCCAACTCTCTGTGACCCCATGGCCGGTAACCTGCAAGTCTCCTCTGTCCATGGGATTTCCCAGGCAAGTATACTGG